AAAGGTTCCATATACAAGTGTTATTGGTAGCTTGATGTATGCAATGGTGTGTACGAGACCCGATATTTCACAGGCAGTTGGGGTTGTGAGCAGGTATATGCATGATCTTGGAAAGGAGCATTGGCAAGCTGTGAAATGAATTATGCGGTATATTTTGAACACCGTAGATGTTGGTTTGGTCTTTCAGCAGGATAAACAAGATGGTCAGTGTGTAGTTGGGTATTGTGATTCAGACTATGCTGGGTATTGTGATTCAGACTATGCAGGTGATTTGGACAAGCGTCGATCAACTACTGGTTATGTGTTTACATTTGCAAAGGCACCAGTCAGTTGGAAGTCCACCTTACAGTCAACAGTGGCTTTGTCTACTACAGAGGCAGAGTATATTGCAGTTACAGAGGCTCTGAAGGAGACAATTTGGCTTCAAGGGTTGCTTGGTGAATTGGGAATGGAACAAAAGCACATCAAAGTGCATTGTGACAGTCAGAGTGCTATTGATTTAGCAAAGAACCAGGTTTACCATGCAAGGACGAAGCACATCGATGTTCGATATCACTTTGTACGAGAGATTCTAGAAGATGGTGGAGTCATAATCCAGAAGATTCGGACCACTGAGAATCCTGTTGATATGTTGACAAAAGTGGTAACTGCGATCAAGTTTAAACATTGTTTAGACTTGGTCAATATTGTTACAAATTGAAAGATGAATTTGCAGGCACTATTGAAGATTGATTTTTGAGAGATATGTGTGGAATTTGCCAAGGTGGAGATTTGTTGGTTTTTTGGCAAAGTCCCACATTGGTTGTGTATAAGGAGGAGGAGAAATTCTTTTGTTATAAATAGAGTCATCATCCTCCTTAGTTAAGCATCCCACAAATATAAGCCTTCTTCTATATTAAAGGCTATTTGTATTCTTTCTTTCTCTTTGTAATATTTCCTCTATTAGTGAAATATTATTTTAGTAGTGTTCGAGGAGGTAGGCATAATTTTGGCCTAACCTCGTTAAATTTTGGTGTTCTCTTTATGTCTATTTAATAGCTATTGTCGGGTATAGTTGTTGTTAATTATTATCCTATTAAAATTACTTGTCTTGGTAGTTCTGTCTAAGGAAAGTTGGTTTTAAGAGGGACCATTGTGACCCCTCCTCTTTCCTGGGAATCTACCTTGGTGTGATTTTTAGTACAATCGTTTTCACATTAGTCACCTAGATAATAGTTTGAAAGGTGAATTTGTTATTATTGGTGGAAATTAACCCGAATTCCACAACATAAATGATAGAGAGAAGACGACATTAATTGCTTAATTATTTTGTGCCAAGTATTCTTGTTTTTATTTCACGTGGGACTCTTAAGGTGTTATATTGGTTTAAAACATTTGATTAATTGTTTAAACTAAAAATTTAAATATATTATTAATTTTTAATTAATAAGCTAATATGGTTAGAAAATAATAACTTATTTTATTTTATATTGAAAATGTATACACATATAAGTGACATTCCATGTAGAGTTATCCACTTACGTCTTACCCTTGCTTGAAACCTTTAGTTGAGTAACATTTTGTGTATTATGCTACAAGAAATGGAACATGTACTTTTATTAGTTCACACAACTTTAATTATCCACCGAAAAACATTTGTCTTAAGAAAGAAGGAACTGATTCTTCTTAAATCCCTCTTTTTATACATATTTAATTGCACAATGGTTATCTTGCTCATCTTTTTTAAAATAATTTTTAAATTTTATATACCGAATCTCACATTTTAAACATACTTTCGAAAAATATTAAAAAAATATTTCCATACCTTGGAAATGGACAAAACATGTTTTTTTAAATGGCAACAAAAGTTTATTAATAAAATAAAAAAATCAAAATTACAATGCAATAAAAAAGAAAATTAGAGACAATAATACCAAAAAAAACTTATATATAAATAAAAATATTAAATTCAAAGATACAAAAAAAATATTCTATTGAAAATGACGTCAAATATTAAAAGAATCTAATAACTTTTTGGGTATAACTACATGTATCTGATCTATTAATCAACTAATCCAGATTGGGTACTACAGAAGCAAGGGAAACTTTCCTAATCCAGTTTGTTCTATTCACAATCGCTAGTATTCAAACCCTTGACCTTGATTAAGGGGTATAATGTCTCATCCCACTAGACTAACTGATTATTAGTAAAATCCAATAACTTTCATAAAATAATAGTGTCAACAAAGACATGAGATGTAGATGAAAATTTAAGAATTTTAATTTTTTTGAGAATATGATGAAATGGGAAAAATAGATTAAAAAAATGAGAAAACTAGGGCAGCTTCCTTCCACATCACCGAAAAGGGGGTAAACCATCATGTTGTTTCTAATTTAACGCAGGAGTGAGAAAACGGAGTAATTTTGTAACCAAGAAAAAGAAGAAAACGGAGTAATTTAAAAGTTGAAATATCAAATCGAATAATGTTAAAGTTTAGTGATCAAAATAAGAATATGATTAAAGCTTAGTGATGAAAAGCACAGTTTATCCTTATAATATTAACATCTTTAACTTTAAACATATTTTACCTGAAAACAAAAAACGACCTGTGCGGGCCCAACCCAACTGATTGGTCCACAAGAGTCGAGGATAAAGGACTTAGCAAATGGCATGCAAACTCAACTACTTTTCTCATGTAATTAATAAAAAGGTTGTTCTAAGTCACATAATACGTTTAATCGTAGGTAGTTTATTTAAATTAACAGATTAATGGTAAGAAAAAATTATCTATCATCGTCTCATGTCGTCTGATTCAGTTTCGAAAAACAAGCCGCACAGTATCTGTTGGGTTGAAATTCCCAAACTGCCCGAGCAAATCTTAGGACAAGGGAAGGGTATTATAAGGATTTGAATAAATAACTTCTGAAACACTTCACCCTTCGGTTCCCGTAAAATAAAAAATATTATAATAAAAATCATACGAAAGAAGAAATCGACGTGCCTATAAGAAGCGTGTATCACTACTTAAAATTCGGTCGATTATTTATACATTATTTTTTAGGATAAATTATGTCAATGGTCACTAATGTTTGGGTTAGTATTCGTTTTCACCATTGATGTTTCAAAAATCACAAATCGGTCACTATATCATTGTTTGTTATAAATCTATTACTAACGTTATCGTTTGTTACAAATCGATCACTCCACATTAATAGTCGTTACTAGGCGTAACGGAAATCACAACTCAACCGTTATATGCTAACTTGGACTGTCACGGTGGACAATACAATGGCTCCAACGATCACTTCTTCTTCTTCTAGAACTTTCTCTCTCCCCAAACACTAAAGGATTTATATTCTACGAGCACCCCTAATAAATAGAGCATATGAGAGAATCCCAAAAAGTGACTTAGCAACTATGGGGAGTTTCTCAAAATTTTGCACAAGCTGCAATGTTAAAAGGTCCAAGTTAAGATGAGCCATGTGGAAGTTCAAAGGCAACCAAGGAAACACCTAAACCCTTGAACCCAATGCTCCAACCCACACAATCTCATCATTTCTTAAAACATATTTTCTCATAAACTTCCCTTATTTTTTCTCCCCTTCTCCCACAAAGAATTCATCAGGACTTGTTCTTATTACACTGTATAAATATTGGGTCTGGCTTTTTGTTGCTAAAAAATACTTGAATGATTGAAAAGTTGAAAACTTTGAGCATCTTTCCTGGATTCTTGAGGTATTTGGATTAGTTTAAAAAAACTAGATTTTTAATGGAAATCAATGGGTAAAACATGGTTTTGGCTTTGGTGAAGCTTGAAGAAAACTAATAGGAAAAATATATGCTATAAATCTCGCATTCTAACACTTTGAAGATATGTTTGCTCTAAGAAGAAAAAAAGAATATAAATCCTTGAGTGTTTGGGGAGAGAGAAAGTTCTAGAAGAAGAAGTGATCATTAAGCCATTTCACTGTCCACATGATAGTTCAATTAAGCATATAATGGTCAATTGTGATTTTTGTTACCCTATTAACGACTGTTAATGTGGAGTGACCGATTAGTAACAAATGATAATATTAGTAACCGATTTATAACAAACGATAACATTAATGATCGATTTGTGAGTTTTGAAACATCAGTAGTGAAGACGAACACTAACCCAAACATTAGTGACCATTGACATAACTTATCCTATTTTTTTAATAGTTTAGAGTGATTATAAAATATTATTTGATAATACACACATATGCAAATACAACTATTTAAATTCAAAAACTCTAGAATAATATTTTCTTAATTATTGAGACTATTTGATGAATTCATTATTTATACATTATTAAAAATTAAATTATATAATCACTTATATAATTCATAAAACCACTATTTAAAATTTTAATTTTGATACAAGAACTAAGTGACTTTAATAGTTATAAATTTTATTGTTAGAGGTATAAAAATTCATTGTCAACTGGTTGAGAATATCTTTAAACATATATTACCGTCAAAAAAATTATTTTTTAACCTTAATGAATTTTTGTAGTAATTCCCCCTAAGTAATGTAATAATTTGTTGTTTATAATAATTAGTTTTACCATCAGAAATTATTACGATTAAAAAATGATTTTTTGATTAAAAAATAGTAATATATAAACGTTAAATGGGTCCAACACACGCACTAGTAGTATCATGTAATAATAGTAAATATTTGGAAATTATCCGGAATTGAGAATATTTTCCTTAATGAGGAATGGAATCATGAGGATTGAAGAACATCTGTTTTACACGCGCTGGTGAGGTGAGAGTCGCGGTTAAATGAACGACAGAAACCCTGGTAGAGAGATTACTACGTCTACAGACAAAAGCCACATAAAAAAATAGAAAATAAGAAAAAAATTAGAGGGAATAGGAAAGGAAAAAAATAGAAAATAAGAAAAAAATTAGAGGGAAAAGGAAAGGAGGAGAGAGGGAGGGGGGAGGAGGGGGATAGAGGGTACTTTACCACTTTTATATGTTGCACGCATCCATAGCAGAAAACAGAAGGAAGACATAGTACTACTACTACAAAGTCTCTAGAAGAAGCGAAAAAAAAGAAAGTTAATGCGTAGAACAAACAACGATAAGGAAAATATGGCGTAAAAAATGGGTATTGAGGTAACAATAACATGCATGGATTAAAAGCAACAAAGCTCTAGAAGAAGAAGAAGAAGAAGAAGAAGTCTAGCATGGCAGGAGTGTTTCTTTTTTTCTTTTTTGATCTTTCAGAAAGTGTATCATCCAAAATTTGAGTTGGTTTTCCTGTTGAAATTTGTGTATATTTAAGTTTTTCTTTGTTAGTAATCAAACGAGCCCTTCACTTGGTTTGGAGACTCCCCCCCTCTTATTGTATAACCAGTGGCTGGTGGTTTATTGAATATTGGGAACTGGAGAGTTTTGCGTACTAGGAGGGTAATTTTGTTTTTGATTTGTGTAGATGAAGGGCATGCCCCTATCCTTTGAGGAGTTTCAAGGGAAGGGGGCGTTAGATTTTTTTTCTTCTACTTGTTCAGATTCATCACTGTTGCTCCAAAACCAGCATCATCAAGGCAAGTGGCAGAACAACAAGGGAGGTTGCTGCTATGCGGGCAGTGAGCCCACATCTATTAGTACTAGAAGAAGCCCAAGTCCTCCTACATCTTCCTCAACACTGTCTTCCTCTCTCGGTGGAAACGGCCGCGGAGGCAGCGGTGCCTCCACGGACACAACCGGCGTGGCGGCAAACAAGACTGTCACCGGCAACAACAACAACAACAACAATAGCCAATCCTTGGATATTGGAACGGAAAAATGTGGTTTAGGAATGGAGGATTGGGAGAGTGTTACGCCCGGGTCTCCTAGTCAAGAGCAGTCCATTTTGAGGCTAATTATGGGTGATGTAGATGACCCTTCTTCTATGGGATTAAACAAAATTCTTCAGTCAGGTGGTGGGTCGCATGATATGGAGTTCAATGCTGGTTTCGGTATAGTGGATCAAGGTTTCACCTTTGAGTCCATTACTAGTGGTGGCAACTTTGTTAGCAACATTGACCCTCATATAGCTGGAAGTTGCTCTGATTTTCCCGGCTTCGGTTCCGTTTCGACCGCCACAAATCTTGCATTCACATCTTCAGCAACCAATCTTTTGCCTACTTCACTCGCTCATGGTGTCTTTGCACAGCAGCCCCTTGAAGCTTTGGATGAAAAGCCTCAGATTTTCAATCCACAGATGATCATAAACCAAAATCAAACTAGGTTTACTCAAAACCCCACTATGTTCTTGCCGCTTTCATATAATGCTCAATTGCAAGAACATAATCTTCTATCACCACCGCCGCCAAAAAGATTTAACTCTGGATCAAGTGGGCTAAACTATCAGGTCTCTAAGGTTCCGTTTTCGGGTTCAGGGCAGGAGCTTTTTCTAAGGCACCAGCAGCAACAGATCCAAATGGTTCAGCAAAGGCCAACCACAATCGGAATGGCTGCAACAATGAAACCGAAAATTGTTAGCGATGAACTGGCTAACCAGCAGCTTCAGCAGGCAATAATCAACCAACTAATACAGGCCGCAGAGCTGATCGATAGCGGGGATCCGATACTCGCGCAAGGGATATTGGCGCGGCTCAATCACCAGCTCTCTCCTGTAGGTAAGCCATTTATCAGAGCTGCTTTCTACTTCAAGGAGGCCTTACAGTCACTACTTCCTCTGAATGCTACCAACTCACCGGCTTTGTCCTCACATAACATGATTTTCAAAATTGGTGCTTACAAGTCATTCTCTGAGATTTCTCCAATCGTCCAGTTTGCGAATTTTACTTGCAACCAAGCACTTCTTGAGGCTTTTGAAGGGTGTAGTAGAGTTCACATAATTGATTTCGATGTTGGGTATGGTGGACAATGGGCTTCTTTGATGCAGGAACTTGTTTTAAGAAATGGTGTCCCTTACATGAAACTCACTGCCTTTGCCTCTCCATCCACCCATGATGAGATAGAGCTTGGTTTCACCCATGATAATCTCAAGCACTTTGCTAGTGAAATCAACATGAATTTCGACATTGAAATTATGAGCCTGGAGTCCTTGAATTCTGGTTCTTGGCCGTTGCCTCTGCGTTTGGGTGAAAATGAAGCAATTGCTGTTAATCTCCCAATTGGTTCGTTTTCTAATTATCCTTCAATACTGCCTCTGGTCCTCAGTTTTGTGAAGCAGTTGTCACCCAAAATTGTAGTCTCTTCAGACAGGGGTTGCGACAGAACCGATGTCCCATTTCCTCACCATATAATCCATGCACTTCAATCATATTCCGGCCTCCTTGAGTCCCTTGATGCTGTGAACATGAATCCCGATGCCTTGGAAAAGATTGAACGGTTCTTCCTTCAACCCAGCATCGAAAAGATCGTGTTGGGTCGACATCATTTCCCGGAAAGAAGACCTCCTTGGAGGAGTCTGTTTATACAATCTGGATTTTCCCCGTTAACATTCAGTAACTTCACAGAGTCCCAAGCTGAGTGTTTGATTCAACGAACTCCGATTAGGGGTTTCCATGTTGAGAAGAGGCAGTCTTCACTTGCTCTTTTCTGGCAGAGAAGAGAGCTAATTGCTGCATCATGTTGGAGGTGCTGAGCATATTGGTGATTCTATCAATTCAACTTTGCATCAAAGGTGCTTTTAGTTTCTGATCCTTATTTTCATGCCTTAAAGTTTTTGTTCCCTGTGGTTCTCTTAAAGGCTAATTGTCTATGTACCACCGTAGGCCTGTTGTTTCCGATTGAAAACATTTTAGCAACTGTATGGCTGTCTACAGCTTACTTCGGATGTGGGTATAACTCTTTGTCTTGCTTCTTTATTCCTTAAGTTGCCCTTTTGTTTGTTGCACACTTAACAACAAAGGCAAAAACAAATTCTGGGTAATGAGCAACTTTCAATCTTTTTAATGGTTCCATCAATTTTCTTTATGTTATACGGTTCAATTGAATGAATTGTTGTTGCCACAAGTATGACTTAAACTTGTTGTCCTCTGGTCAGGAAACCCACAAATGATAAAGGAGAGCTTGCTTGCACATCTTTCTGTTAGCTTTTCCCATCAGATCATGTTCTTGATAAGCACAATTATTAAAAGCAATAAGATACATTTTATTATTTTTTTGGAGTTTTCCTATGAGTCTGTTAAGATGGCTTTTAATTGAGGGTGTTGGTATTAAGTTCATAGATTTATGGCACCGAAATCCTAAATTCCCCTCTGGTTCATGCATTAACCCAAGCTTATTAAATAATAATTGGTCCATTAAGGGCGGTTGCAATACATAATTAATATCGTTATGTCAGCTTATAGTTAATCATAGTTTTTATTATATAATAATATGATATTTTATGCATGCCATATAGTATGAATTTTTATTCTACGGTTCGGTTAAACATATATGGATTTTTTAAATGCCTCTCTTAATATGATCACATGGGTGTTGTACCATTGGACCCCCACATAACCATCAACTTTTTCTAAAATACACATTATTTTAAGGATAAAGACAGAAAGACAATGAAATGATGTGGCTCGTTATAAACCATAATAGTTTATTCCCCAACAGATTAGTATTTAAAATTGCTAAATTATTAATTAATGCCAATTTGTTTAAGAGATGAAAGTAGGGGTTTGGGGTCAATATTGAAGAAAGCGACAAGCCGACAGACAGAGAGGCGATAGTTTAGTTGGTTAGTCTGATCAGATACATAAGCTTTACCAAAGCAATGATTAAGACATGAGCTTCCACTGTGTCTAAAAACTAGCCAATAGCTCGGCCTTGTTGCGACGGTGAACCAATGGGCCGATGTGACGCCTACCACTACTATAATACTATTTTTTTTAAACTTGCAACTGAATTAATAAGTCCAAGTTGACGTGTACATAAACATGTTCAATGCATATTATGCTTTTATAGTCAGTTATGACTTTCCCCTAGAGATTCCAGTTTCTGAACTTGAGAAGGAAGAGTTCAACTAGAAGTGATCTAGTAGCAATCAAAATGCTTTACTTTTGGCACTTGTCTAAGTTTTTTTCTTTCAACCCATTGAAAAACTTGACTTATAATGCCATTTGGGTAACAGTGACAAGACTTTGGGATCTCAAATCTCATATGGTCTGGTACTATGAGGGGAAGAAGCCATACCTGGTGCATCCATGTTACCTAAACTTTTAAAGCGATCAATTGTTGGCAATTCGCTTAATGGGGTGTCTTAAGTACTTAGCTGGAACCCTTGCCCTCCATAAAACTAGAGCAAAACCCACATTTTTCAATGGAGGAGTTTTTATAATTATTATTAAAGAAGGCACTTTTAAGTGTTAAGTAGGGAGTTACAAGCAAAAGATATTGAAAATCATGGCAATGGGTGAATGGAGAGTGGATAAATGGATGTTTTTATCTTTGCTTTTGCTCCTACGTACGTGGTCCATTTAAGAGCAGGAAAGGGAAAGAAGATAGGCAAAATGCAAAGGAAAGTGGCTTCCTCCCATTATCATTCTCTCGAAAACCAAATTCAAAGCCTCCACTCTTGCATGATGGATCTGCCCATTGTCTCCTTTTAGTCACCTCAACAGCAGAAAGCAGATTCTACCAGGGAGATGATGAAATGAGAGAAAGAGCTCCAGATTTTGCTAGACATCTTGATATGGAAAGCTCATAAAAGTTGCACACTTTTTTGTTTGTTTTGTTTTTCAAGCAGAGGGGAAAAAATCATCCTTCCGCTGGAAAGTATAATGATAAACAACTTTCCATTAAGGAATGGAGGTAAGCACTTTTGTCTTGATGAAGCCTCCTCGGACTGAGGAATTCAGTTGTAAGAACAAAGATATGCTAAAGACTCCACAGCTTTTCCACCTGAAAAACATGTCTGTTGGATCTCATCACTAACTAAACTTGAATGGATCTCATCACTAACTAAACTTGAATTCCATGAATCGATATAATCGATTGAGTATTCGTTAATACGTTGATAAAAATGGGTATACAATATAAAATCCAATAATCTAATTCAATCAATGAACAATAGAGCATAGTAAAACGGGTAAAGAATACCGAAAAGGTTAAAAATAATAATAAGAAAACAGTTTCCAATAACTCTTTTGAGGTGGCCTAGCTATGCATAGGAATTATGAGGTTAATCTAGAATTATACCATTCCCTCATGATTGTTAATTTTTTTAAAAATAATCACGATTCCCAAATCATCATCAACTAGGAATATACTTTTTACGATCGTCAGTGATCATGTTTGATTAATTCATCGGCAACATTTCACGTTGCCACTAGGAACAATGCACATTACTAGAACGTATCTTTGTTTAGGATAAGCTGTAAAGAAGACAGGAAGTTTGAGGATATGATTTGATGCCGTTAGTTTGATATTCCTTTTTTCTGTCCTACAGGCATGCTGTTGATGTTCTCTTAGCAGTGAAGCAACCTCTTGATGTGTTACACATTAATTATTCTTAAAATTTCTTATTAGTTATACAGTCCCACAAATTATGCAACCAAAAAACTAATAAGGGTTTCAATTCTCTGCATTTGGGACATGTAGAGGAAAAGCAAAAATGATTGCAGCCTTTTTAACAGGCAGGCCATGACCCATTACTTGGCATACACAAATCAACGACGTGCTTAAACAGACAAAAGCAAAAGGAAGACATCACAAAAACAAATGAAAAAAGACCTTGGGAGCATCCAAGGCAGATGTTGTTGCGGAAGACGGCTATCGGATAGAGCAAAATCGCAACTGATAATTTGAGAAAATAAAAATGAAGATAAAAGAGACACAAAATTTACGTGGAAAACCCCTGAATAATATAAGGTAAAAACCACGGGCAACGGTAGAAGAATTTCACTATGAGAAAATAGGAATTACAACTTCTCTCGATCTACCAAGGAGAAAACAATGATAATTCTCTATTGATAAAAAGGAGAAAACAACTCTCAAGAAACTCTCTAAATTCTCTCTAGTATTGGAAGAAAGCTAGAATGCTTTGGGATGGTTTTGAAGCTAAATGAGCTAGGGTATTTATAGTTGAAGCTTTAAGGACTAATTTGTAAATACCCTAAATTACAATGACTAATTGCATAGTTTTACCATCCAAAATTTTCAACAATTTGGTGGCCAAATTTGACCAATTTTGCCACCCCATTAATGCCACCAAATTGCCACCCATAATGTTGACAATTGATGCAATTTGGTGTGCCAATTTTCAACAATCTCCCACTTGAAGATTTGATTGGAACAATTATATCTTCACACCATTCTTTCTATCTTGTACCTTTCATGTTGCTTACGTTTCTGATAGGCCACAGGAGGATCGACACCAAGTAAATTTATCAGCATTGATTGCCTTTGTAACATCCCAAATCAGGGTCAGTGACTAAATTGTAAATTTTGAAAGTTTTGTGTTCAATTTAGAAATGAAATTTAAAAGTCTTGGGATTTAAGTAAAGAATTTTAATATTGGATTAAATAGAAAAGATGGATGAACTAAAGGGGCAAAATGGTCTTTTCATGGGAAAGATTTTTATCTTCCTTTTTGAGTATTATAAACATGGGAAATATGAGAGAGTTCCAGACTTCTCTTCTTCATTCTCTTCTTTTCCACCGTGAAGCCATAAGCAAAGGTAAGTTTCTTCATTAGTTGATTATTTGTTCAACTAAAGGTTTGGTTATGATTATTGGATGATAATTAAGCTTAAGGAAAGCTTAAATCATCTTAAAAACAAAGGATGGTGGAATTAGGAGGGATTAAAGATTAAGAGTTTTTGAATGAAATTATGGAATAGAGTTCTTTACTCAAATTGGAAGATAAATTTGACTTGTCAATGGTTGAATTAAGAGATATGAAGTGATAGAATTGAATTTAGAACAAGAAGAAAAATTAGTGCGATTCTTGAATTCTATGTAGAGAATTAGATTTTGAAGTTAAAGATGTATTGAATGAGTAGTAATGAGTTTAAGCATATAAGTTAAGAATAAGAAAGGGGATGATATATGAAGTGTTTGAGAGGAAATGAAGTAATTTTCGTGCTGAAAAATGATTTCTGAGTTAGGGGGAATCGGTACCCATTCAAAGGGGTACCGATACCCTCTCAAACGACAGAATTCTAGAATGTCATGAGGGTATCGATACCCCCAGAAGGGAATCGATACCCCTCTAAAGGAAAATTGTGAATATAGGTTTAATAAGTTCGTTTAAGTTGCTAGTATCCAATTACAAGGTGTAGGTATCTAATATTTGCCTTAAAATGTACATTTATGTAGATTCTGAGCATAAGGCAATTCTGGAACATTTGGCAAGTAAGATCGATCAGGGGAAATATTAGAGATCGAGATTGACTAGTGAGACCAGGTGAGTGCATATTCAATAGTATATGGTGTGATGGGAATAAGACTTGCGATGAGTCTATTTCCTGAAGTGTTACATATGAATTCATGATTAAAGGCATGAGTTGAATATGAGTGTATGTATGTTTGATTATCTGAATTGATATGTTTTGTATGTGCCATGTGGTTTATGTAAAAACACGATTAAGTGTTATTAAGAGAATATAAAATAAGTTATGAAATTATAGGAATATAGAAGATAAGTCGAGAGATGTAGGGAAATAGAAATAGATGTTTATTAAGAGTCATAGGAGAACATATAAGTAATATGATAATGAAATATAAGACTATGTGAATACATGGTTATGAGATAAAATATGTAATAATAGGAAAATATGATGAAAGTGAGTTTATGAGAAGTGATATGAACTAGGTAAACATGGGTAACAGTATATGCATAATGGAAACATGAGTTGGACAAGTACATAGTGGTATGATTTATTATGAGAATTAGTATAATGGAGCTATATGAAAAGATTATAATGAATATATGAAATTGAATTAAGTAAAGAGAT